AGTAATAAAAATTGTAATGAAAAGGAGAACAACGAGAGAGAAACAAACCCCGGGAAAAAAACAAGTGATACGCTGACCTTGAATATAACCCCCTAATACTCCTTGGATTCTGCCTAACCAAACTGAATTGTCAAATCTTCCTACTTGCAGCTTCATTCTGCTAATTGAATGCTTCCCTGTGCTAAAACAGGCACCTCAGGTTTATTCTTCTCTTTCAAATTTAGCATAAGATTTTCAGACATCTGTCAGCCACTAGAAATCCTTTCCTAACTCAGATTTTCTTCAGCATTTCTTTCTTCTGCAATTCACATATTCTGTATTTTCTTGTGGTTTAGCCCCAGCCAGCAACTAAGCACCACGCAGCCGCTCGCTCATTCCCCCTACCCTGATGGGATGGGGGAGAGAATTGGGGGAGTAAGAGTGAGAAACACTCCTGGGTTGAGATAAGAACAGTTTAATAATTGGAAGAAAGTAAAATAGTAATGATAATAGTAACAATAAAATAATGATAATAACAATAATAATATACACAGCAAGTGATGCACAATGCGATTGCTCCCCACCCGCCAACCGATACCCAGACAGTTCCTGAGCAGCAATCACAGCCCCCCGGCCAACCCCCCCCAGTTTATATACTGAGCATGACGTCATATGGTATGGAATAGCCCTTTGGGCACTTTGGATCAACTCTCTTGGCTGTGCCCCCTCCCAGCTTCTTGTGCACCTGGCAGTCCTTGACTAGTGGAAGCAGTACCTAGCAACAACTAAAACATCAGTGTGTCATCAACCTTATTCTCATCTAAATCCAAAACGCAGCACTATGGCAGCTACTAGGAAGGAAATTAACTCTATCCCAGCCAAAACCAGGACAGTGCCCTTGAGCGACTCCTCTGAAAACACCTGTTACTTTTTGTAGGAAGAACACTCGGTGAAGTTGAGATTAAACATTCTTCTGTATTCAGTCCTGTTTAGCTGTTGGAATGCCTTTTGTAATTTATGATCCCTTGTGCAGTGAGAAGAGAAAGAAGAGGCAATTAGAATTTGCATGAGGTTTTCTTCATTCCTGTGAAATTAGCCAAGTATGACATACTTGCAGCAAAGTGAGATGTGACTAACTGCAGGGAAGGTTCTGGAAGGAGAATGAAAATCCATTGAAATGCTGTGACATACTTTCATGCAATTTCACCATGTTGTAGTAAATGAGTAAGTAGGTTCTGCAGGTGTAAGTTTAGCAGTTGTTAAACATGGTTTATTGTTATGTGTATTTGCTTTGCATAGCAGTGTGTACAACTAAGAGTCAAGTTCTGTCAGCCACTGCTACTCAGCAGCCTACACTGGGACTTTTCAGTGTAAATGAAATGGAAGTTGTAACCGAAATTGAGAACAAGACCCTCCCTCCGAATTCCATACATACAAACTTAATTTTCTTCCTGACCCATTTGTAATCTAATCAGATGACAAGCAAGTCTGTATAATAAATGTAAGAATGAAAAAGAAGTGAAGAACAAAAGAAAGACACTGAAATACGATGTTATCCAGTACTTTGTTTTTTACTATATACAGTAGCAAGAGATTCTTCAAAGTAGAGGAATTCATTTTTCTATAAAACAGTATGTATCTAAGTTATAGATTTATACAGAATTATATTCTGTTAATTTTTCTATAATGCCAAAAGAAAATGTAATCTGAATCTCGTAGCATCGTTTCTCATCTTCAAAAAAAATTAAATATTTCATCCTTTATTTCTGGCAGCTACTTCGTCCAGAAGAGGTTGAAATTCTTGTCTGTGGCAGTCCTGAACTGGATATGTCTGCTTTACAGCGAAGTACCCAATATGAGGGCTACCAAAAAACTGATCTTACTATACGGTAGGCTTAATTTTTTTCATTCTAATTACTGAGTTTGAAAACATCATAGAATGGTAGACCATTGGGAATAATCTCTTCAAGGATAATCTGAGAGTGATTGAAATTTTAAAAACCTATTTCTAAATAAGACAAAGACACTATTAAATTATCTATAAGTAGGAAGAATTAGATCCTTAACGGCATAATGTGTGGCTGAATACCTTTAAAAGGTTATGATCAGATTGAAATGGCAATAGTTTAAAAAGAGTAACTTCAAATCCTGCATAGTGAAATCTGAGTATTTATTTTTACTATTCAGTCTTCTAAAAATGCTTTTTCTCTTCCAATTCTATTTGATACTAAGGACATTTATATTAGTGAGTAGAAAGTATTTATGTTTTTATAGAAAAGGAGGTTTGGGCATCGTTTGACAAGACATCATTCCAAAATTCATAAAACATTGTACTTGTTGAGTCCTTAGGAATTTATTTAACCTTGCATATTAGGATACTATGATGTCCCATATATTACATTAACTAAATTCTCAGTAATTGGCATTCATCATGTAGTACTTGCGGTTGTATTATTATCCTCATACTCTTTCGTCATTATATTGCATCTTACACCATCTTCTTCTCCCTCTGCCCTGAACATAGATACTTTTGGGATGTAGTACTTGGATTTTCTCTTGACCTTCAAAAGAAGCTGCTACATTTTGCTACAGGAAGTGACAGAGTACCTGTGGGAGGAATGGCTGATTTGAATTTCAAGATTTCAAAGAGTGAAACATCCACTAATTGGTAAGTAGTCTTCTGGATTTTTAAAGTCTTTTGTTAAATTGTTTCCTGAGAGCCCTTATCGCTCTTGAATGTCTTTTTAAAGAAGAGCAAATTAATGTATAAGGAAGAAACTGCATGGACTCCTTTAGGTTGTCTTCAAAATGTGGTTATACCCATTTATTGATTGCATAAATTCTGCAGGTGACCATCTAATACAAAATCGATTCTCCAGTCAATGTTTACATTTGAGGCCAGGAATTGTTTATTTATAGAGATTGCTTACATGTTTTCAATTCAAATAAATTATTTGTTTAATTGTTCCTAACATGACAGCTGAGCTAATGGAAATATACTGTGAATCACCAGGAATTTTTCAGAATTTGTTGAGTTTGGCTGTCATTATGTATAGAAGTCCCTGCAGTTGCAGAAAATGCTTGCATTTGTTCTTGCTGGTCTAAATAAGAATTTTAACATGTATGGCTGGGAAGATGTAGCATTCCTTTAGGTCTCTGGTGAGTAAGTGTATGGCTGACACAGAGGTTGCTCAGAAGAAATAGGAACAAAGCAGCCTTGTAATTTCATTGTGAAGGTTAAATTGTTCATGCCAAGTTCTTATGTTTCTGGTAGTGTTTTATTTTGTATTGAATTGACTCAAGAAATTCCACATATTTTCCAGCTAGTATTTTCCTTCTCAGGATTGGAGAAAGTCAGTTTAAATAATTTGGAAAGCTGTATAGAAAAGCTTACTGCTCTGAAGCTCGCTGCTAAGCAGTAATTGCTGCTAAGCAATAATTGCTGCTAAGCAATAATTACTGGCTTTACCTAGATTTCTCAAACATTTAGGGTAATCAAAATACTTAAAGGGAACTATATTTTTAAAGTCAAAATTTTGTTGGGTTTTCTGTGGAGAGCTCAATTAAATGCATAAACAAAATAAATTTTAGTTTTGTTTTTAAATTTGGTTTATCTCATTAGTGTGGTATTTCTAATGCTTTATTTAATGAGCTAATAACTGGTTCCAGTAACATGTTAAAGCAACATGAGGATCTGATGAAAAATGAAGAAAAATCAGTCAACGTTGAATCTCTGTTTAAGTCCATTCTCCTGTAAATTGTTCTTTTTCTTAAAAATGGGAAAATGTGTTTTGAAATAGCGTGCATTTGAAAATTATGTAGGTCTGTGTTTTGCAAGATAATTGTTGCAGTCAGGCTGCCTGCGCAGAGATGAACATAGACATGTTGGCATTGCGTTGCTCACACAATAGGATTAAGGAATATAATAGCAGTAAGAATTGCCAAATTAATATCCAGTTTCCCAACTTCCCAAATTCTGAAGCACGTGACTCCAGTCTGATTAATAAATCTTTGCTTGCTCGCTTAAAGGGTGGGGAGGGGGAAGTAGCTTGGGTTTCCAGATCTGTGGGGATTCTGCCCCCTTTCAAGAATGTTTGCTAATGACCAAAGGCCAAGCTGCTGCCATTCAAAAGACTACGGGCTTCAATGAAAACAGAACTACAGAGCTACATGAACTAGAGTCACATACTAAAATTTAACTTCTAAGTGTCCAAGTTTTAGAAATTTTTCAGTGTGTCGGGTTAAATCTAAAAGTCAGGTTGAGCTTCAGCTCATTCTTTCTCCTCTCTCCCCCCAAGTAATCAGTTGTAGGACAAGTCTGTATCCTCAGTTCTGTCTGCTTGTCACTTGAGAATATAAAGGGCAAGAAGATCCCATCGCTTCTTTTTGCCTGTGGCTGGGAGGCAGGATGTTAGTGGCATTTCATCCTGATGGCAAAACAAATGCTTCTGCTACTGAAGTTCTCATCAAACTAATCTGTTCTAGTGAGGAGCAAAGTTTCCAGTGTTTCAGTCAGACCATCCTAAGAGGTATCTGCAATACATATTCAAATTCAGCTCTTGGAAGAAACTCGCAACTGAAAGTGTTGGTACGGCTAAGACCCAAAATTTGTGAACTGTTGTTTTTCTAGGGCTTCAGTCAGCTCCTCAGCGCTCTGCACTAAGGCATATGTCTCTAAGGCTGTATTTTACCAGGCTGAACTTCGAGTTCTGTATCCTTACAGTAACCGTGGTTCATCTAGGTGTCTCTATACCTACTGCAGGACCCACCTTCCTTCTTCATCTTGTGGATTCTGATTATACCCAGATTTTGTATTTAGAGAAAAAATGATCTTGAAGTCGTGGTACCTGGCGTTTCCAAAGCCTGGAAGGAGAAGTTTCCAACTTAACAAAAAAAGAAAGGTGGGGAGGGAGTTGCAGGCACACAAATTCACCTGAGGTGCATATGACCAACAGTGGTGTTATCTGTGTTCAACAGAACCGGAACCAACACCATTAGGATACATGCTCCTTTTACAGGGTTTCTTATTTAAGTAATGTTTAACTGAAAACACGGAGGCAATTCGCAGTGTTCTGCTTCTAATGTATTATTATTAAATGTGTTTTGTTGGGGTTTTTTTTAATTATTTTAGGTTACCTGTGGCCCATACGTGCTTCAACCAGCTTTGTCTCCCTCCTTACAAGAACAGGAAGGAACTGAAGCAAAAGTTGATCATTGGAATTTCAAATGCAGAGGGGTTTGGTCTAGAATAAAATTAAATACTTCAAGAACAGCATTTTTATGTAGCATTCACTCTCTTCTAATTGTGCCTTTAAGCTTTTTGTTGTTTTGTCTCTTGATACTGTGCCAGTCTTACCCAACTTAGTTGGTTTGGTTTTTTTTTTTTTTTTTAATTAAATATGGAGTATATGTTTTTTCCTGGATGGCAATACATTTACTGCTTGCTTTGTCACAGAAAGTAGCTTTCTTCATACAAAAAGCGAGTCTATTTGATAAACGAAACCCAACTAAGACAATTTCTAAGTTATAGTTTGTTTCTGTTTTTTCTTAAGAGCACTTTATCATTAATCATAATTCCTTTACATCACAGGTATCCCACTGGGAGACGATATACAGAATACTTCTTTATTAGCTAATCCCAGTGGTAGGATGTTTTCAATCAACACGAATAATAGAAAAAGATATAACATACAGCATGTAGCCATATTTTCACAAAGGCAAATATGAATTTTAGTCTTTATAAAATGTATGCAGTTTTAATATTCTGGTTTTCCTTCTCAATGAAACAGGCTGTCCAAGAAGCATGTAAATAACTGCCTGCGAACAAATAGGGTTTTGATAGTGCCATTTACTGCTAAAAGTTTATTTTTTATTAATAAGAGGTTTTAGATGTTCTATATTCAGCTTTTACACTGAACTGTACAAGAGTGTTAAAAGGTACTTTTTTCAGCTTGAGGGGATTCAAGTTCAAACTACAGGTATTAAGCAACTTGTATGTTCATTCTTTGACAGCAAACTAACCAGATCTACTGTAGCGTTATAGTAAACAAAACTAGATATTTAAAATAAATTCCACATATAGTGAGATATTTCAGGTAAAGAATTAAATCCACAACACATGGAAAACTGATATAGTGTATCATGCTATAATTTTTTTCAGCAACTTTGTTGAAAGTCTTAAGTAAGCTGTGACAAAAGTGAATGCAACAGCATTTGAGAAGAATGTTGAAGCTTTCATTAACTTGAAGGCCAGCATTTAAAGACAATGTTTTGTGGTTTTCACTGCACAAACTACATGAAAAGAATTCTTGGTATGCCTGCTCTGACTTGGTAAATTAGGAGCTGGGAAAGAAACTGGTTCTAAAATGCAGATGTGATTATAAGTCTGGGTTTTATTCATTAAATGGAAAGAATTTATCAGCATGCAGTATAGTATTTTTTTAATTTGAATAGCTACTGTGTGTTCTATAGATTTTTCTTTCAGCTGAATGAGGCCCAGATCGTTGAAGACACTTTGGCATCTAGGTTGTCAGCTTTCCCCGTTGACATCTGCTGGGGCACGGATGCTTAGATATCTTGTAGTGTCTGTATTCAATTACTTATTTGCAATAAGAGTACGATACTATATTATTCTCGTTTTCCCTCTCTGTATTATTTACATGCTACCAACAGATTTACACAAGATGAACAAATTAGTCTGCCCAATCCGTAGTTTCAAAGCTGTTGTGGATTTTCTTCAACAGCTAAGTGTAAATTTTGTTTTATTCTATTTCCTAGAGAATGTACTGGTGATTTTACTGTTTTATTAAAGCAGAGATAAATAGTAGGCTATTTTAAAATATTTGGCACTGTATTCATTTTGCTCTCCTTGACACTAGTAATAAAATTGCCATTGACTTCAGCCTGGAACAAAACTAGGTTAGCATGGAAAGTGTTAAAAGCAGCACTTCCAACTTGTGCATTTCACATTGTTTCTCCCAAATGGAGGTTTTAAAAATAAATTTTGATTTACGGGATTTCAGATGATAAGAAATAAATGAAACCTTCACCATTACACCGAATGAACTAGATAGCTTCAAGCAATGTTAAATATCTTAACAGCCGAGTATGGATGTAGGTAAGAAATCTGGAAACAAACACCTGCCCCCTTTCCCCTCTCTGTAGAATTGGATTCATGGAAGGTTGGCTTATGAATAAATAGCTATACAGTTTATCTGAAAACATGGCAAATTAGCCAAAATATTTTTTTATGGCTTAAGCCCACTTTTAATAACTATTTATCTATTATTGTTAAAATAAAAGCTTTATCTTCTTATTTTCACTGAATTGCACTTTGCCTTGGGTTTAGTTTTATTTATTGAAGCTTTTTTGATTTACTGTGTAATATTACCTCAGAATTCTAAAAAGGCTATTGTATTTGCATCAGTTTTTAAATAAGATTGTCATTCAATGACATTTTATATATTTCCTGATGTTGATAAATTAAATAGTAAATTTTGTATTTGTTAAATGAAAGCATTGCACTGTATTTATGAAATAAGCCTCTGATCATTTAGAAACTTTTTCTCAATGATGTTTTGTTGTTCTTTTGTCTTGCCATGTAATCCAGCAAATCTTTTTTTATCTCCATTATTGTTTTGTACCGTACAAAAGAAATCTGGTTTGTATAAACTTGTTCATTCCTAAGTATCTATTTTTATGTATTAAAATTGTGCAGTCATTAAATAAAATATTTCAATTTCTGGCCTCACTTGTTTCATTTCAGATTTCCAAAATTGGTCATAATGGGTTTAAAAATATGATCAAGCTATCTGCTTTTGCCTTATTTTTCTTTTGAGAAGTTTTCTTTACAGTAACAGTTTTGCTAAAACGTTGCATGGCTCACTGAAAAAGAAACTGAGTTTCAACTACCAGACATACACCCGGAAGTGTCTATACAAATTCTATACAAAGTCTATACAAATTCCGTATTTGTAGTCAAAACTACAGGTGTTCCAGTGCATACCATGGTGTAACAACGCTGTAAAACAGCATGGATCCTCAACTTAATTTTCCTTACTTTGAGGTGCAAGGAGAGACAAAGCCAAGCTGTTGTATGTTTTATCTTTTTCTGACTAATTTTAACATTAAAATCGGGAGGGGCAGCTATGCTGCTTTCTCATGGACACAGGTCCTGATCACAGGACTAATATCTGACCAGATTCAAACTTGCTTCTTGCTTCCTTTGGACCACTCACGTCACCTAGAGATGGCAGCAAAGATGAGGACTGAAACCACCTAATTAGATGTCAGACTTTCCTCTTAACTAACAGCAGATATTGTAAGTACAAGTAATGAAGAAAAAAGTTCTCTCTTATAAATGTACATGACAAATCATTTCAGATTCGTGAAATCAGCAAATATAAATTGGTTTCTAGCAAATGGGTATAGAGGAGGGAGAAGCAGTTGCTTGCTGGGTTTTGAAAATGTCTTCTCTTTCCATGGGGAGTTCCCTGATGTGTTACTGGGATCAATGAGAGACTCTGCCAAAGCCTCACAGAGAGGAGATTGATTGGTACTGATCTCTGAACAGTCAATAGCCTCAGGGCTGATGTTTAGAAAGAGGTTAGAAAACCTAGCTTGCTTTGTCCTGTTCCAGCTAGGGATCAGATGGCTGGTGCTGGGGCTTAGAATTGAAATGCAGTATTTCCTTTTGATTTTTTGGCCAAAAGTGGTGAGGTTCCTTCTCTGTAGTTGTAGGTGGTGGTGGTAGTGGTTGACTTGCTCCAAAAGCAAGTGCTGTATCTGCTGTTATTTTTCATAGAATCCTTCCCTGAAAAAGCCTAGTTTTCATGTCCTGACTGGCAGGCTGTAAAAGCATGAGATTTTCCCTCTAGAGCACCTAGTTCTCTTCCAAGAAAATTTCTTTTTCGTTTGGGTCAAGTAACCTTCCATTCTATTTGGATTTTTTTTTTTTCCTTTGGGATCTGTGCTGTTGTATGTGTTATTGAAGTTCCTTGCACTTTTAAAGATTTATAGTGTCTCAGAAAATAGTGATGGGGTGGCTTGGACTGCCACAGCTGTTTCACTTGTGTTAGAAATGTTCTAATTCAGTCAGGTGGGTTTTGTTGATAAATTAATGAGCAAAAATGGACCCCCAGAGATCTGCACCTTTCAAATTGTTAATTAAATTCTTATTATAAGACTTTAAACCCCAATGGCTTTATGTAAAATATAACGGGGGAACAGGTATGGCAAGGGTTATTATAGTTTGATATAGTTAGTGCATTCATAACTGTAGAATGGATATTTGATTCAAAAATAACTTGTTCTACAAACTAGATTTAGGAAAGAACTCTGAGGTCAAGGAAGACGGAGAGATTTTTGTCTCTGAGGATCTGGTAGAGTAGTTGCTCATTAAACTCTGGAAGGGTGGGAGAAGTTCATGTAAGTTGGGCAGCACCTAACAAGTTCAGCTCTGGACTCTTCTGCAGTACTAATGTTAAATAGTACCTCTATGTGTAAGAATAGGATGTACACATTAATGGTTTTGTTGCATGTTTCAGGAGTTTTATGTTCTACCACAGCAAGGCTTCATTTACCATTTTTCTTTTGGGTGTCAATTTTTATGATTTGGTATTTGTAGCGAGTGATGAATAGACTTTTACTTTCTGATGCAATATTTTCTCCCCATGAGAGTTGTCCTAGATTATGTAGATGTATGATGGTCAGGTTTAATTTATGGACTGCCTTGTTTACATGGTGGTTTAACTCTATAGCATGCTTTCCTATTAACCAGGAGAAATGCATCTGTTCTCACAGAGTCCTTAGTACCTTTACATTAGCATCTCTGGCTGCTACCACACTGTGGGTAATAACAATCCAGCCTCCACTGGTCCCTGTAGGCTTTATCAGAACAGAACTATTTGTAACTATGTGTAAGTTATTCAAACCATCTTATCAATGAGTGAGTTTACTCAATGTACATTCAATCTCTTTGCTCTAGCGGAGAGCTAGAATATTCACTTATTTTGCTATTCATTTTGTGTCAGTAGCGATACTGTGGAGGGCGGGAACTGTGTTTTGTCCCCTGGAAAATCAATCCAGCTGGATATAAAGGAGCCAAAGCACAGTCATTTTGAAAACACTGTGGTTTAAACTCAAACATGTGGGTCTTGGTTTTGGTTGTCTTCTAGTGACTTTATGTAACCTCACACACCTTATTTTCAAGGACTGCGGTAGCAGCATGTATACTGCTTGGGGGTTTTAATAGTTGGCCTTGATTAGTAGAAAGGAATGGGTAGATGGGCCAGTAACACATGCCACAGTGAGCAGAGAAGGAACTTAATTTTGTCATCTCGCTCATCTACTTTACAGAGAGATCTTTTCCCAAATCTTTCTGGATTCTCAGATGGAGGAGTATCCTGCTCAGATTTTAAAATTCCCTGACAAGACATGTTCTGTGATACTAAATGCATCATATTCATTCTTA